CTCTCCTAAGGAGGCCTTCGTGTATTTGTAGGACTGCCATCCAAGTACCGTTAGAGCGCAGCCGCGGAGGACAACGGCGACAACATGCTTCGTTTTCAGTCCAATGAAAAGAAGACCTTTTCGGTGACACTCGCTGCTTCTTCTCGGGCAACGGAGGCCGCGCTTTCTCAGAGGCGGCAGGAGATGGACCAGGGGTGGGACAGCATTGATGAGGGATGGCAGACGCTTCGGGAGCGTATGAAAAAACTCGGCATCACGAAGCCTTTAGAGTCGAAAGAAGGAATGGTGAAGTTGAACGTGGGCGGTTCGCTTCTCGTTTTTCGTCGGTCGGTTCTTGAGGGCAAAGGAAAGCCGCAGTCCCCGACTTGGGCACTGGGAAATTTGTTTGAGGCTGAGTGGGACAAGCGTGTTCCTCGTGATTCAGATGGCCGCATGGTGCTTGACGAGTCACCGACATGCGTCAAGCACCTCGTTCACCGCCTGCTTATCCCTTCGTCTTCAGCCAAAGGTACCGAAGGCCGCGAGGGTGATTTCGCCCGCAATGAGGACCCCGACCTTCTTCACTACACGGCTGGTGTCCTCGGTCTGTCGGGACATTTGGCTCCCGTCGGGATGTCGATACAGGGAGGGACCACTATCTTTGAACCCCACGAGACCAGCAAGCTGGCTGCTGTCGTTCAAGATTGGTGTCCTGGGCATCCTGGTGGGCTGGAACTGCTCTACCGTGCTTCCCGCGACGGCTGGGCAGCTGCTGCCTTCCACGCTAAATGTGGAGACGACAGCCCCTCGACGGTTACCTTCTTCCGGGTGAAGGGCCGTGAGACAGGGAGGACAGACTGTTGGAGTAATTGCGGTACAAGAACGACTCTATTCTACTGCATGGGTTTATGCGGTATTGTGAAGGCGTTGCCAAGTCTGTAACCGTCAGGTGAAGACAGATTGGGCGTCTGTGTGGATAATAATATCACTCTGTGTGTTTGCCTACCTAACCTCGCATCACATGCCAGCTACTTTGTAGCCACAGCTGAAGGAATAGCTGTACAGCAACTGCAGTGACAGTGCTGTTGCCTTAACAGGTTTTGAGCCTCGAGTTGCTCGAGCTAGTACACCAGAGTCACAAGCGTCGGTAAGCATGGCTACCGGCTCGTCAGGCGAGATCCGAAGAGGATTCGCCAAGTTCAGTGGTGACCCAGGCGACTACGTCGGCTGGCGAACTCTGCAGACCTCCTTATTTATGGAGGACAAGCTGCACAAGGTTCTGTTGGGAGTGGAGAAAGCCCCTACGGATCCTGGACCAAGCGCTACGCCAAACCAGACTTTGGCATACCAAACTGCCCTGGAAGGATACCAGGACAAGAACGGACAGATCTTTACCCGGCTGATGCTCGCTACATCTGAAACCGGGGGCTACCAGAGCGCGGCCTCACAGACTGTGCAGGCATACGCGCCTATCGGGTCTTCCTACAACGGAGACGGTCGTGGAGCATTCCTCGCCCTGGAACGAAAGTACCAGGCCGCTGGGGTATACCGTACGCAGGAGCTGCACGAGAAGTTCATATCTTTGGCAGTTACTGCGGACCACGACTTTGATCCGGCCAATGTTATTCAAGACATGCGCCGGATCTGCACGGAGCTAGCCGTGTATAACGACACGGTGGCTGACCACCGAAAGACGTTCGCTTTCCTGAAAGCACTGCCGGACGACCACTACAAAGAGTTCAAGACAGGGCTGCTGTGCGGCCAGGCTGCTGGGAGCGTCTTGTCCTTCGAGGAGGTCGCCGACCGAGCCACTTCGTTCCACGCGATGCACATTCGTGGTAAAGTTGCCTCGAAGAACGCGTCCAGAAGCAGCAGCCGTGCGCTGAATACCGTCACACACGGTGGAGCGCGTTCTTCCCGTAAGGGCGGCGGTCATCATGGTCGTGGACGCGCGCAGCGCGGTGGACGCGGACGTGGCAGCTGGAACAACTCGTCGAACCGTAACAACGGGTCGTCGAGGGGGAACAACAGCAACGACCAGAACCATGGCGGCGCAACTTCTGGCAACGGAGCTGGTGGTGCGTCTTCCGACAACCGGCCCTCTGGACGGCCAAACCACTCACAGCAAAGACGCGGGTACGACAGGGACGGCTTATGCAGTATACTGTCACAATTCTACGGAACACACCTGGACGAACTGCCCGCTTCGCGCCTCCAATGCCACGCGGTTTTCGAACCGTGAACAACAGCGACCGCAGCAGCAGCAGCAGGTGGTCAACACGATCGCGGAAGCCACGACACAGGCGTGGCTCACGCACGCGCGCGAGGTCGACCTCACGCTGGAATCGTTCGACATCGCCATAGGCGATCCCGAGCAGGTGCCGTTTGCGCCTGCTGCATCGACCCCTGAGGAGGCGTCCGATGTCAATGTAGGGCAGGTGTTGGCTGCGCCTGCCACAGCTTCGCTACCATTGTTGGAACGTGCTGTCCCATTGCAGGTGCCGATTGCGCCTGCCACAGCAGAGGAAACCGAGGAGCCTGCTGCCTCCTACGAGCAGGAAATGGACCCGCCTGCCGCGATACAGCATGAGGAGCTGGTCGCGTACACCAACGTTTTTCGTGCAGTGGACAAGACAGCGCCCGCCGAGCATACGAGGGTGTTCATCGACACCGCCGCTTCGGGACACATGGTAAGCGGCGAGAGCCCAGTCTCACAACATGTAGTCGACTTGGTTGACTGCGACGTCCGCATCAAGGGTTCGTGCGGCACATCCAGCGCCACCAAGAAAGGTACGCTGAAGTTCAAACTCAAGAATGACAAAGGTCAACCCGTCCCGATAGAATTGGAGGTTCTGCTTGTGCGGGATCTTGGAGCAAACATATTTTCTGTCGGAGCGTTGGATGAGAAGGGGGTGAAGACGGATCTACTTTCGGCACCTCCGGCCCTGCGAAGCCGGAACCTGTCTTTCCCCATATCAACAGCAGAGGTGCCTCGAATGTACGTCGTGAATCTCATCCTGGACGACCTGAATCTCGACCTGCCTAGTTCTCCGCTGGTTTTCCGTGCCGATACCGATGCCGGTGTCTGGCACCGGAGGATGG